ATAGTATTTTGTGCTTTTTTTTTTTTCCTTTTTCACTTAACGGGATATCCAGAAACCACTCCCTATCAGTTCACTAGAGATCTTCCTCATTCTTTTTTAAAGCTGCTAGTCTCCAATGTGTGGATGTACCATAATGAATTCAAGTACTCTCCTACCTATGGGCAATTGAGTTGTCTCTGATATTTTGCAATTACCAACAAGACTGCAAATAACCTTGTGTATATGTATTTTTATATTATTGAAGATGTATCTTCAGATAAAGCTAGACAATGGCTAGCTGGGTCACTAAGTAACTGCATACGTATAGGATAATTATAACCCACATAAAAAAATCGCTTTTGAGACTTAATGATTTTTAAGAGTGTAAAGGGACTTCTGAAACCAAAAAGTTTGAGACTAGTTAATACAGATCATAGAAATAACTGTCCAAAACACAACGGTACAAATAGGATACAGTCAAGTGGCAATGTGATATCTTAAGACAGGGTATTCACAACTAAGGCCATGGTAAACAACAGCAATGTTTAGAGTCTGTGGGATTCCCTGTATTCTTTCCGTTTTGGGGTATCATTTTTATTTCATATCTAAGGAATTTGTTTAATCTCTTCAGAACACTTTTGATGTGTTGAGCCAAGAACAAAGAATAAAGTAACAACTTATTTCCAAACCCACTTTCTGCCAAAAAAGAATACTTTTAGTTCCATCTGAAGTACCCAAAAAATTGGAAAGAAATGAAGCTACTTTTAAAAAATACTTTCAAGATAAAACATGGGATTTTTAATTTAAAAAAATAACGGTACAGTAAGGATAATAAATGTGCAAATGCTAGATGCAACTATCCTCACTCTGGAAAACCTCACACTGGATGCTGAACAAAAGAAGTCACTAAAGAAAAATGATTCTACTTACATAAATCAAAAATATGCAAAACTAATCCATACTTTGTATTTAAAATACACACAGGTTGTAAAGAAAAGAAATAAAAAACACAATGATGATTTCCTCCCGTGGAAGTAAGGAAATAATGATTGGGAAGGAATATACATATGATTTCTGGGATGCCAGTAATATTCTAACTCCTGAGACAATCACTTTCTATGTATTGTTTACATTGCATGTGTATGTACTTTTTAAAATGTATTTTATTCTTCAGAATAAAGGTAAATAAAAAAGTAGTACAACTGCTTTCTGGGCAAACTGTACCTCCTCCCAGGAAGCGTGCAGCCACGATGGACTCAACGCCATAGCGGGCAGCCACTGAACAGCAAAAGACGGAAACGAACCTTCTAGACTAAACCAAGTTTCACTCTTCAAGAACAAAAGAAAACACGTGCAGTGTTTATTAACACGAATAGTAGAATCAATCTTTGGAAGCCAAGGAGGCATCTGATAAAGATTAAATATTTATTACTCATCTTCAAAACATTAAATTTCTTTTTAACATAATAAAGAACATATTTTAATTCTAGAATTATTATTATGCCTATTGTGAAAATACTAAAATAATTCCTTCCCTTACTTATCCTATTTCACAAAAACATCAACAGATGGACCCAAATCTATATTCAAAAATTCAAAACACAAACAAAAAATTCAGGTAAAAACTTTTTTTTAATACAAATCTTCAATTAATGGCTTTTCTACTATTCTATCCCCCATGAATTCTACTATTAGCCATTTCTCCAAAGACCCCTAGCTTCTTTTAGTGGGAAATCACACTTAGAGATCGCAATATGGGTGCTACAGATACTCACTACCACTGGGTTGTCATGTGCAATAACATAGTTAAATAAGCAGCAGAGGTAGTTAGTAGAAGAAAGAAGATCAGATCCAAAGTATTCTATTTGTAGTCCAGTGCTCTTTATACTATATTTGAATGAATTACATCCATGTGTATCTTGCATATGGCCATCAGCAATCGTTTTTCATAACTTTAATATCTATCACTTACTGAGACACCTTGGAAAAGTCACTCATCCACTCTAAATTAGTTTTCTCTACATGTAGTATTTAATAAATAATCTGACTCACTTATCTCTTGATTGTATAAAGAGGAAATGACAGGTTACATATGAAAGTACTTTTGGTGCTATCATAACAACTGACAGAAGATTAGAAGGGCATCTTTCAGTTTACAAAGATAGACTAGTAGTAGAAAACTTCAAACGGTGAGGGGTGGAACAAGACAAATTAAACAATTAACGGCATAACACAAAGAAGGGCATATACATCTTTCCTTATAAATCTTCCTATAATTAAAAGTTACGTGATCCTAGTTAAGAAATGAGTTTGAATTGAAATCCTAGAAATACGTGAATTATTCAATAAAGTATAAAGATGCCAACTCAAACTTGTAAGCAGTGAAATAGTTTCCTATAAACAGTCTAGTGAAATTGTTAGCAATGAAGAAAAAATAAGACTCTCACCAGACAAAATATCCTAAAATAATTTTTTTTAATTTTTTTTGTGAGGAAGATTCACCCTGAGCTAACATCTCTTGCCAATCTTCCTCTTTCATTTTTTGGGGTGTTTATGCTCGAGGAAGATTAGCCCTGAGCTAACACCTGTGCTAATCTTTCCTCTACTTTGTATGTAGGATGCCTCCACAGCATGGCTGATGAGTGGAGTAGGTCCAGATCTGGGATCCAAACCTGCGAACCCAGGCCACCAAAGCAGAGGGCATGAAACTTTAACCACCAGCCCATGGGGTCGGCCCCCAAACCTAAAATAATTTAAATTAAGAAGTAAAGGTAGGGGCTGGCCCCGTGGCTGAGTGGTTGAGTTCACACGCTCTGCTTTGGCAGCCTGGGGTTCCGCGGTTCGGGTCCTGGGTGTGGACATGGCACCACTCATCAGGTCATGCCAAGGCAGTGTCCCACATAGCACAACCAGAAGGACTCACAACTAGAATATACAACTATGTACTGGGGGGCGTTGCAGAGAAGGGGAAAAACAAAGAAAAAGATTGGCAACAGATGTTAGCTCAGTGTCAATCCTAAAAAGAAAAAAAGAAGTAAAGGGAAAAAATGAAAGCCCAGAATAACTTTAAAATATTTATAGGTACAGTCATGCACCACATAACGACCATTCATTCGGTCAACAACAGACTGCCTATATAATGGTGGTCTCATAAAACTGGTACCCTATAGCCTAAGTGTGTAGTAGGCTATACCATCTAGGTCTGTGTTAAGTACACTCTATGATGTTTGCACAATGATGAAATTGCCTAATGATGCACTTCTCAGAATGCATCCCTGTCATTTAGTGATGCAAAATTGTAAATATTTATATGTTCTCAAAATGGGGATAAACTAACCAAAGAATCCAAGAAAAAAAGCCACCATGGAAGAGAGAGAAATTTGAATTACATTAACAAACAAATGAAAATTTAAGAGAAGAAAAAATACTCAGTCTTATTGGTAATCAGAGAAACATAAATTAAAACAAAAATTAAATATTTTCTCCACATCAGATTGGCACTAAAAAATAAAAAATGAGAAAGAGAAAATTGACAGTATCAACTGTTATTGGCAAGAATGAGGGAAAACTGGTATGCTGCTTTTTTCAAAAGTTGGTGCATTTGAGAAAATTTACACTATTTCTATAAAGAATATGTATTTTATAAACAATAAAAGTTATATAAAAGAGGAATGAAAAAAGGAATTAAAAAGCCGAATTTTTATGTCTGAAATGAATTTGTTGTAAAGCCTAAAAATGGCTTCTACATAACAGATGATAACTCCTCCAAATCTCTCCAGTAAAGATTTCATGATTATGCAGTTGTGGCATAAACACTCTATCATACCCAGTTAGAAGCTGTAACGAGAGAAAAACAACCTGGCAGTGGCTTAGTGGTCTTAGTGGGAGTTTCAGAGATTTCCAGCAAGTTAATGGTATTCTTCTTGAAAACTTAAACCTTCATTCTGACACATTAGAGATCCAGGAAGTCTCGGTTAAAATCATGGCTGAGCTACTTAGAAAGCCGTGTGCATTTGGGTAAGAAATTCAACTTCTCTATTTCCTCATTTGTAAAATGTGCACAAAACCATCTGCCCCACTGCACTACTGTGAAGGTCAGAGACAATGAGTGACCAGGGCCTAGTTTCCAGAACTGGGCACAAAATTGGAGCTTACCATGTGGTCACTGCTGCTATTGTTACTGAGCCTGGTTTAACTTACTCTGTGAATAATTAGGTTTTACATACCAATTATCACTTCATTTAGGTAAAAAAGTACTGTATAAATGGCCTGTATGATTGTGAAGTATTCTCTCTAAACTGAGTTTTCTTGGTTTTTTGGGGTTTTTTTGAAGAAGATTAGCCCTGAGCTAACATCTGCTGCCAATCCTCCTCTTTTTGCTGAGGAAGAGTGGGGCCCTGAGCTAACATCCGAGCCCATCTTCCTCTACTTTATATGTGGGACGCCTACCACAGCATGGCTTGCCAAGCGGTGCCATGTCTTGCACCCAGGATCCGAACCGGCGAACCCTGGGCCGCCAAAGCGGAACGTGCGCACTTAACCTCTGCGCCACCAGGCCGGCCCCTAAATTGAGTTTTTAAAAAGGAAGGAAAGAAAGAGAGAGGAAAGAAAGGTGGGGAAAAAAGGGAAAGAAAGAACGGAACCCAGAAGGAAGTGAAACAGACACAAACCAAGATTAGCAATGCACTTTAATGAAGGAAAATGGCAAAGTTATGCTGACCACCTGAACCTCAACAGAACCCACGCAGTAAACTGACTGTGAACTTACCAATTAAATGCGATCAACTTGAAGCCAGATGAACTTTCTCCTATGCTGAAGAGTCCTCACAAAGCTGTGGAATAAAACTTGCCTTTTCTATTTAAAGCCATTCCTTTATTGCTAAATAGTTGGCCTGAGAGGAAGGCAGCAAGCAGGGTTAGAAAGAGAAAAAAGAGGAGGAGAAAGATGAAGAGAAAAACAACATGCAGCCATGGATCAAACTTCTTCACCCGACCCTTCCAGGTTCTCCTTGCATTCTAACCTGTAGCTGCTGGGAGCTGTCATTGAGATTGTCCTCCCTTCGTCGAGCCTCCTCTAGCATCTGTGCACTCTTCTTCTTTTCCACCTGTTCCTTGTGCTTCAGATTGGCTACTTTCTTATTCTGGTCTTTCACTTGCCTATTGATAAGGAGGAGAAAAATCAAGCCATTCATATATATGCATAGAAAAGAAAATATTTATTTACAGACTTACACCACTAACACCAAGGAACAGCTGGAAACCAACAAAGAATTCCTGCTTTGAAATTTTCCCAACACTTTCAAATTCTTTCCTACCACTGGGAGCAAATTATTAACAGTGATGCTTCAAGAACACATACTTCAGCATGTACTTTACGAAGCAGAATGAAATCATAAAACAAAAGAAAGCTATGTGATAGTTTGAAATGAGAGGAAAAAGAAACCAATTCAGAGATTTATGTTGGAAGTATGCAAACAAGTCTCCTGACATCAATGCTATAAAATAGTAGAATGGCTGATTAAGAAAGGTTTTGTAATTCAACTCTAATTTTACTATTATTAAATATTGCAAACTTTCGAAAGGCTGTATATAATATATATGTGTATGAAAATAATGATACAAACATCTGGGAACCCAACTTAAGCAAGAGAACATTATATTTACTTCTGAAACGTCCTATCCTACTCCACTGCCTCCAAACTTAGACAAAAATAACCTATATCATAATTTGGGGTTTAAAATCCCCTTGCTTTTATTACAGTTTTCCTACACACATGGATCCTTCATTTAGTTTGCATGTTTTTGAAATTTATATATAAAGTTATTAATAAACTATTTTTTCTTTGCAATGTATGTTTTGAGAATCATACTGATCAATGACTGTAATGTATTTTTTTATCCCCTCCATTTTCACTGCAGTGTAAAATAATATACAACAACTGTTTTAACCCATTCCCAAGGTGATGGACAATTGGGTTGCTTCCGTTTTTCTTACTATTGCAAACAATGCTGCTGGGTACATTCTGATATCCCTGTGCAGGTTTCTCCGAGGTAGAGGCCTAGAAACTAAACTGCTAGGCCACTTAGTAGGTACACTTTCAACTTAACTAATCATTTCCAAGAAGCTGTATAAATTTATACTTTCTCATTAGTAATGCATAACAGTGCCTGCCACACTTCTACACATCCACGAATACTTGGTACTATCAGACTTTCTAAGTTTTACTAACCTGGTAGATATAAATATCTCATTGAGTTTTAAAATGCATGTTCCTGACTACTGAGGCTGAACATCTTTTCACATAGTATTTGGCAATTCATGTTTCCACTTCTTTGAAATAACTATTCATGTGTTTTGCTCATTTTTCAATTAGGATATCTTTTTCTTAATGATATAAGTATTCTTCAATATATTCTGGATAATAATCTTTGACCTGTTATATAAATATTTTCTTTCAATCTATGAATTATTTCTTTTTTTTTTTGAAAGAAGCTTTCTTTCTTTTTTCTTTTTTTTTAAGATTCGCACCTGAGCTAACAACTTGCCAATCTTTTTCTCCCCAAATCCCCCCAGTAGACAGTTGTGTATTTTTAGTTGTGGGTCCTTCTAGTTGTGGCATGTGGGACGCCACCTCAACGTGGCCTGACGAGTGGTACCATGTCCGCGCCCAGGATCCGAACCGGCGAAACCCTGGGAGACCAAAGCAGAGCGCAGGAACTTAACCACTCGGCCATGGGGCCGGCCCTTGAATTATTTCTTTGATTGATTTATGATATGTTATCATTTATAAAATTAAAAAATTGTAATTGTTTCGATTGTATCAATCTTCTTTATGGTTTGCAACTTTTGACTTTTTCATGAAATCTTCCCCATTCCAAGTTCATAAAGACATTCCCCTAAAAATTTTGTTAACTTTGTCTTTCACAGTGAAGTCACTAATCTACCTGTAATTAATGTTGTGTATGGTATGAGGTAAAGCTATAATTTCATTTTTGGGGTATGGTATGAGGTAAGAATAAAATTTGACTTTTTACATATATTGATAATTAATTGTCCCAGCAGTACTTAACAACGCAACACTACTTCCGTCACATACAAAGTTTCTATATACCTGTGTGCCTGTTTTATGGCTCTCTACTCTGGTATCTTCGTATATTTCTATCCAAATCTATACTACTTTCATTACTATACCTTTATAAGGAGTCTCAATAGTGTCTGGTAAGGAAAGCCTGCCTACCTTGTTCTTCTTCAGGACTGTTGTGGCAATTCTTGGCTCTTTACACATCCCACATAAATTTCAGAACCAGCCTGTCAAGTTCTACTAAAATAACCAACCAACAACCACAGCAACCAAAACTCAAGAGCAGCCTATTGGGATTCTGATTGAAATTGCACTGAAGTTTTTATATCAATTTGGGAAGAAGTGACACTTTCATGCTCTTGAATCTTTCAACGCATTAACAATGGCATATCTTTCCATTTATTTAGTTCTCCTTAAACAGCTTTCAACAAAGTTTTATAATTTCCTCGATAAAAGACTTGCATTTATTTTATTCCTAGGTACCTTATATGTTTTGTCGTCATTTTAAATTCCACATATCATGTCATTACACACAGTTCCTTACACAAAGTACTCTAGAAAAAGTACTGTTTCAACAATGTAAATATTATCAACAAAATTAACAATCATTCCTTGTCATCATCTAATATCCAGTCCATATTCAAATTTTCCCAGTTGTCTCAAAAAAAAATTTTTTTCACAGTGGTTTGTTTGAATCAGAATCCTACAAAGGTCCACAGCATTGTGTTTGCTCATTACGTACTTCCAGTCCCTATTAATCTAGAGAAAAGTCCCTCACCTCCTCCCCTGTTCCCTTCTTCAATGGCACGGACTTGTTAAAGAAGCTGAGACAGCTGTTCTGTAAAATGATTCACATTTTGGAACGCCTGTTTGCTTCTTTATGTATCATTTAACTTGTTTTTTTATTTCCTGCTTTTTCTTTTTTTGAATACTGAAAGTTAGCTTTAAAGACTTGAGCAGATTCAGTTTCAACTTCTGAGGTCAGAACACCAGGTAACAGCGTTGTATACTTCATATTGTCTCACAACAGAAAGCATAAAATGTCTGGTTTTCATTCATCAGTGAATTAAGGTAGTGACAGCCTGGCTTCTTATGAGTGTAAAGTTCACCTTTCATCAACGTTTCATCTAATGGTACCATGCACTGATGAACTTTTCCTGAATAAATTATTTCAATGGTATACTTTTTAAATTAAATTTTATAATGCCTTCTTGTTGGCATGTAGACATGCACTTGATTTCTGTATATGGATTTTATATCTGGCAAACTTGGTAAATGCTCCTGCTATTTCTAATAATTTCTCCGCAAATTCTTTTCAGTTTTCTACGTAGACAGTTGTATGATACATAATGATTTTTTTCAATCTTTACACTCTCTTGTTTTTCTTGTCTTATTGAACCTGCTAGAAGTTCCAGAACCATAATGAAAACAAGTAACGAGAGTGGGTATCTTTCTCTTTCTCCTGATTCTAAAGGAAATGCTTTTTACACTTCACGATTGACTCAGGTATTTGCTAGTTTTTTCTGTAGAAACTTTTTATCTATTCCTTGTCTGCTGAAAGTTGCTGTTGTTTTAGTTGTGAATGAGTGAATGTTCAATTTATTGACATGCTTTTGAGATTTCCTAATGTTTAAACCAATTTTTTCATGAGATAAACCCTATTTTGTATTTTGCATCATATTTACTGGTATAAATTTCCTTATTTCCTTCCAGCTCAACTATACATTTATAAAATTAATGAAAACATTTGGCATTTTTATTGTTTTGTGTAACGAAGATTTGCTAGGGACTATAGTTAATGATATTGTCAGAAACAAAGCCGTGCAAACCTCTCTTAAGGTTTTGAAAGCACACATTCTCTTTTGGGTGATTTGGATATGATTCTACCTATAGGCCGTGAAAACCTTTTTTAATAATTTCTAAATGATTCTTCAACATAGAATGTTAATTATGAGAAATTATTCAAAATTAAATAGTAAATTAATGACATAGATGGTAAGATAAAAACTCATTCTCTGATGGAAGTGTACACTGATAAGATATCCAAAAGTCACATTTCAGATCTTTACTTTCTGCCGTCTTGAATATCCACAGAAAGATACAGTCACAGAGAATATAATAAAATCAGTTACCACTAAAAAAAAAATGGAAGTAATATCTATATTTGAGTCTCCTCACTCCATGATTTCTGTGCTAATATCTCTATTTTTATTAATCTGATATCATTCATATCAACTAAAGGAAAAAACAGATTGGGATCTTTGCATTAGAAAGACAAAGAAATGGAACAAAGTTTTGTTTTCATGAATCAAACTGCTCTTTCTCAAAACTAAATGCCTCACAACATCGGTTTACTAGATGCAAAAATTTTGCTTTAAAGTTAGTAGCATTTCTATGCACTTTGTCTTTTGAAACACTACTTTCTCTCCACTTGAAATGATGAGTGTGAGAGAATAAGCCTTTAGTTCTTCCATAGAATTTGTCTCTTCATTAACATTCGATGATGAATGTAAAAGTGTAGTGTAAACTATTAAATACTAAATAAATGTAAGATATTATTATTTTTTTATGTTTTTATTTTATTTTATTTTTTTACTTTATGTGGACAGCTCAAAAAGAAACCAAAGGTTTTAGGCAGAAAGAGTCAGGGAAAAATTTTACATCCAGAAGAAATTACCTCAAGGTCACAGGGTTGCCAGAAAATTAGACCAAATGCTAGGTTACAGGTAAAGAAGACTAATCTCACCAAAGGGTGGAATCAGGATTACCAACAAATTGAAAAAATATGTTTAAGGCATTGCCCAAGGAGAAAATGGGCTCTGGAATGTAAGAGAATCTAAATTTGCCTAAACCTTGACAGTCTGCTAAGTTCTTTACATTTTCATTACTCATTAAATAGACAAATATTTGATTAAACATCACTATCATCTATCAAACACTAGGGATATAATTCCATGAATAAAAATAATTCCTTCTCAGACACCTCCCAGGCATCCAAGCAAAGGCAGTACGTACTACGTACTACAAGAGCATACAGCAAAGGAACCTAACCTAGGCTGAGGGTAGGTGTAGCGG